GCAGGAAGGTATGTTATGGGGGTCCTTGGTGTTCTCTGAGCTCAGATTAACAGAGTTGGAAGGGACCTTGTACATCATCTAGTCCAACCTGCTGCTCAAGCAGGAGACCCTACACCATTTCTAACAAATGGCAGTCCAGTCTTTTCTTGAAAGTCTCAAGTGATGAAGCTCCCACAACTTCCGAAGGCAATTTCAGTTGATTGTTCTCACTGTCAGAAAATTTCTCCTTATTTCTATTTTGAATCTCTCCTTGTTCAGTTTCCATCTGTTATTCCTTGTCTGGTCTTCAGATGCTTTGGAGAATAGTTAGCCCCTTCTTTGGGGCAGCCCTTGAGATATCAGGACACTGCTATCATGTCTCCCCTAGTCCTTCTTTTCATTAAATTAGCTATGCCCAGTTCCTGCAACTGTTCTTCATATGTTTTATCCTCCAGTCTCCTAATCATCCTGGTTGCTCTTCTCTGCACTTTTTCTAGAGTCTCAACATCATTTTTATAGTGTGGTGACCATAACTGGACGCAGCAAGCTAGGTGCGGTCTTACTAGGGCTTTATAGAGTGGTATTAGTACCACACTTGATCTCTGTTAATGCAATGTAAGATTGATTGCTTTCTTGCAGACGCTTCATTACCCAACTAGGTAACATCATCAATGCACAGGTGATGTTACCTAGTTTCAATGAAGGATAATATTTGTAGCTCAGGGTTGAAATGAGGGATCCTTGGTGCTCTCTGAGCTTGGTTATTCTCTTGCAGAATCTAGGTAACACCATTAGTGTCCCCAAACTAGGTAATATGCTCACCACTGATGATGTTATCTAGTTTGGCTAATGAAATGTCTGCAGAAGCTCAGAAGACACCCAGGATCTCTTATTGCCTGGTTTATCTATAAGAAAATGACCAAGAGCCATGGTGGTGCAGTGGTTAGAATGTAGTATTGCAGGCTAATTCTGCCAACAGTTCGATCCTGACTGGCTCAATTTTGACTCAGTCTTCCATCCTTCCGAGGTCAATAAAATGATGACCCAGATTGTTGGAAGCAATAGGCTGATACTGTAAAGCACTTAAGAGAAGGCTGTTATATGCACAAGTGGTGCATATGTCTAAGTGGTATTGCTAAGCTCAGAGAGCACCAAGGACCACACAGTTCATCCCTGAGCTACCAATATTCTTCCTTTCTATTAGTTAGGTGTGCTCCTAGAACCGCATCGGTTACACCTCTCCTCCGTGAGCTGTACTGGTTTCCAGTTTCCTTCTGGGTTCAACTCAAGGGGATGACTAATGAAGCTGCACATGGCATGTGGCCAGGCTACCTGAGGGACGGCCTCTCCCCAAACATCCCATCAGATCTGGCAGGAGGATCAACATCAGCCAAGGAGCTTTTTTTGCCTTGGGACTTGGGAAGGGAGCCTTCTCTGCTGTGGGACCCACCCCTTAACACATCGTGTGAAATTGGCCCAAACCTTGTGGCTTCCTCAGAAGACCCTTCAAATTCTTGGGGAGCCCATGGAAGGGCGGGGCTCATTAAACGGTTGTGCGGTTGTACGGCATTCTCTCATACTTTTGTATTATAGTTTTAAGTGTTTTTATTTATTAAATGTATATGCTGCCCATCTGACTGTAACAACAACTCTGGGCAGCTAATTTAATTTTAATTGTATTTTAAATTGTTTTTGAATTATTGTAATTGGTTTTTTTTTCTTTTAGCTGTGTACACCGCCTAGAGCCACAAGAATGAGATGGGTGGCTGTATCCATCTAGTAAATAAATACACTGCTCAGTACATAAACATTTACTTTAACTCCTTGCATTTGTGTTTCTATTGCATCTGTGTTTCTTCACATGTGCTTGCAACCCTTGCTCCTTAAGATGTGGCATGGCTCAATTCTTTCTTTGTTCTCTTGTTTAACTCCCCACCACCACCATGAATTCACAAAGCAACACACTTGGCTTATTTTCCCCAACCTTTCTTGCAGGTTCTTTTATCCCCCTTCTTCTTATTTTTTACTCAATATCTTTCCAATTTTGCAGCTGAAAAATTAAATCATGTCAGTGCTCTAGTGTTTATGAAGCATTTGAAAAACACTTAACAGCATTTGGGGGGGGGGAGAGACATGTCTGGAAAGCTAGGAGACCTTGGTGCACGAACAGAACGGATTCCAGGAATTCCCTGCCAAAATCAAAGAAACAAAACTAAAAAGAAGCCCAACCCCAGACTAGGATTTGCTTTGATGTATCCGTTTCTGAGCTGACAGGAAAATGAAGACGTGCAAGGCAATTATCTGGCTTGATTACAGCCTGTGGTTCCTCCTTGTCTTGGGAGAGGCTGTATCTCCTCGCTGGCAACCACGCTCTGAATGCAGGAGGAGGCAGGTTTAGTCTACAGGTAGACTACAGGTAGTCCTCAACTTACAGCCATTTGTTTAGCAACCAAAGTTGCAATGGCACTGAAAAAAGTGACTTGTGAGCAGTTTTCACATTTACAATCATCATGGCATTCCCAGGGTCATGTGATCAAAATTCTTTTGGAGGCTTGCAGCACCCTGTGGCCAGGTGATGGCCATGTGTGACCGTCCCAGTCAGTTTCTGACAAGTAAAGTCAGCAAAGATTCACTTAACAACCGCATGATTCATTTAACCCAGGCATAAAAGGTTGTAGAATCAGGGATGACAACAATCGTCTTGCTTAGCGATGGAAATTCTGGTTCCAAATGTGGTTTAAAATTGAGGACTGCCATAGTACTTTCCACAGAAAGACCTCAGATTACAAGGGAGAAGAAGCATCTCACCTTGATAGCTGTAGCAATCCAAAACAGTCAACGCTACAGGATACGGATCAAGACTCTGCTCTCCACTTGCAGTGGCTTCATACAACCAAAGCTTCTCTGGATTGAACTACCGTACTCCAGATTACATGTAGTATTCGATTTACAACACACACACAATTTATGTTGCTAAGTAAGACAGTTGTAGGGTGAATTTTGCTCCATTTAATAACTTTTCCTGCTACAGTTGTTAAGTGAATCACTGTATTTGTTAAGTTGGTAATGCCGTTGTTAAATGTATCTGCTTTCTCCATGGATTCTGTTGGAAGGTAGCAAAAGAGGCTCACAAGATCCCAGGATGCTGCAATCATCATAAATGTCAGTATGTTGCAAAGTGTCCGAATTTTGATCCCACATTTATGAGGATGCTGCAGTGGTGGTAAAGGGTGAAAAATGATCACAAGTCACTTTTTTCTGTACCGTTGTAGCTTCGAACAGTCACCGAATGAACTGTTTTGAGGACTACCTGGACTGTCTTTCAAACTTACCTGGATTATCTGCGCAGCCACTTCAGGCGTCCCTTGGCGCAGATCCTGGCCGTTTATAGAAAGGACTTTATCGTCCTGGCGCAGCTTCCCATTCTTGGCTGCCAGCCCTCCATCTAACAGGTCCAGAATGAAGATCCCGGGCTCGTCTGTTTTCCTGATCAGTTTAATGCCGAGGGGTTCGCATTGGTCCCTTTTGACCAGGATAACATGGACCACTTCCTGGTTCACAACTGGGGGAGCCGTCCGGTTGCTGAAGCCCTTTTCTTGGAGCACAAGGAAATGGAGCTGGTCACAGGGTTGACGCAAGAGTGAGATGGCTTGGCAGTGGGTCACGCTGCTGACGTTCACACCATTCACCTGGGAGGAGAACAGAAAAGAGGGCTGGTCAGAAAATGGTCCTTCCTGCCTCTCTGCTCCAGGCCAAAAGAAAATGGAAGGAGGGAAGCACTGGAGGAATCCTAAAAGAAACGGGCAGGACAGCCATCCGGCTACTCTTTGCTTTGCTTGCTGGCAGCCTGCCATGCTTGGAGGGGAGGGACAGCTGCAGGGAAGGATAAAGGAGGGCTTAGCAGGAGAGGAACTGCAGAATCAATCACCTCGCGAAGATAGGGACCCTTACCCAAACAATTCGTTGGTGCCTGATTGGACACTCAATGATAACCAGGGGAAAGGGGGAAACAAGGGAAAAGTTAACCATATGCTTTGGCTGCGAAAGCCTCAGATCCAGCTTTGCTTCTTCTGTAACCACTTGGCTTTAGTAGAGTGTAAGAGTGTAGTTTTGGCAAGCCATGGCCTCGAAGGTCTTTCTTCTCTAACTGAAAAAGTTGGGACAGCTGACAGAAACATTTGTTTCCTCCAGAAATTTGCCAATTTGCTTAAATAAGGGCAAATAAAATAGGATTATTCTGAAATATTAAATATACTGGTTGTACCAGAGATGATTTATGGAGAGCAGCGCAAATCATCAGCATGGAACGTCACAAAAATCTCTGATGAAAATAAAGAAGAAAATGGACCGGGGGAAGCATTTCTTTCTCTCATAAAAGTCAAAAAAAGTAAACCAGAAAGTTGCAAAGGTTTTTAATACGACATTGTTCATTCAAAAGCCCTGCCTAGCTTCCACACATCCTGACACCATACCTATTTTATGGCTTCCACTCCTATCGCTCCTCCATGCTTTACAGGTAGTCCTCAGATTACAACCATTCATTTAGTGACAGTTCAAAGTTACAATGTCACTGAAAAAAGTAACATGATAATTTCCCACACAACTGTTACAGCCTCCCCACCCCGCATCCAAAATCAGACGCTTGGCAACTGGTTCCTTTTTATGACGGTTGCAGTGTCCTGAGGTCATGTGATCCCCTTTTGTGCCCCTCTGGCAAGCCAAGTCAATGGGAAAGCCAGTTTCATTTAACAACCAGGTTACTAATTTAACAACTGCAGTGATTCACTTAACAACTTGGCAAGAAAATTTGTAAAATGAGGCAAATCCCTTAACAGCCTTGCTTAGAAATGTTGGGCTCAATTGTGGTTGTGAGTCAAGGACTACCTGCACAACCTTCAAGAATCCAAATCTGGTGATCTCACTAGTTTTTAACTCTGAGTAAAATCTGCTCCAGCCGATTACCAAATGGTCATTTTGCCATGAGGCTTTAACGATAGCGAACCCACCTCTAGGATGTGGTCTCCAGGCGCGAGTTTTCCATCGGCAGCCACCACAGAATCCTGAAATATCTCCTGCACCACGATGTTCCCGAGAGGAGTGTCTTTGCCCCCAACTATGCGCATGCCAAGCTCTTCCTCGGGGTCGTCTCGGTGGATCTCAACGGTGTTTGTCTCTGCCAGAAGACTCGCTCTCTGAGGGAATTCTGACAGAGAAGTCAGGAAGTGCATGAGTGAAGAGGAAGTCCTGGATTTTTAACAATGTACAGCAAATGGGAGCAACCTGCATCCATCCCATCCTTTCTTTGGTCCTGCAATCCCCAGCTTTGTTGAAGATGGAATTTTGGCTACTTGAGGAATCGGCTCACAGTGATGGGATTGACCCACACTGACCCACCCACGTGGGAGAGGAGACGTATGAAGATCCCATCAGTCAAGGAATGCCAGTTGGCGGGGTCCAGGAGAAGGGCCTCCTCTGCCATGGCTCCTGCCCTTTGGCACCTCTTAACCCCTGAGGTGAACATGCTCTCTCACCCTCCCGGTTTTTCATAAGAGCCTGAAGATCTGGCCCTGTCTGATGATTTGGGGACCCCATGGGGGGAGCTCCACACTAGAGGTGGCTGACTCATGAAAAGCTAATCCCACCTCCCACCCCACCCCCATGGATCCAGCTCCCTCATCGCTCTCCTGTGTTAATTATTTTATTTTAGCCGCTTTACCATTTTGTATATGAAGATTCTCATGTTTGTTAATGATCTCATCCTGTAAGCCGCCAGAAGTTATTTGATACAAGATAGACATCAAATAAATTTCATAATAAGTAAATAAACACTAAATTTTGTGTCTAGAATTTGTACTTCCTTCTTTCTAGAAGCTAACCCTGGAATAACTTGACTTTAGGCTTCTAAAATGTACTTTGGAAAAGCTTTTCCAAAGTACATTTCAGAAAGTTGATGGAAAACTTTTCCAAAGTAGAAAACGTTTGAAAAACTTTCTGAGCCAAGATGTGGAAGTCAAAGTATGCCCTTTTGTTATTATGGATGAAAATTACATGACACACTTTTCAAACTGAATAACACAATTGCATAGTGCTATTCCATCAATACAAGTATAACCATAACAGAACACATTTATTTATGCAATATTTACAAACTTTAATTAAAGTTTTTTGTAATTCTACAGAAATCCATATAGAGATCTACCATAAATCCCAACCTGCCTTCTGGCCAGTTATACTCAAATTACAATGTTTGACTAATATGGATTTTTCCCTGGCTATCTTAAAATCCTTAAAAGAAACATGAAATGGAAAAGCAAGGCAAATATATATAGCAGTTAGCTTCCTCCCATAATTGGGGCATACCAGGGGTTGTGACTTTAAATATATACCTTTCTCCCTGGCTCAGCTGATAACGATCAGAGCCTGTGGCCTAATGGCTAAGACGTCTGCCTAATATGTAATATAGCCCAGGTTCGAATCCCAGTAAGGGTATGGCTAGCTGATGAGAGCTAAATAGCTTGAAATAGATCTATACTAGTCTCCCTTTATTTATTTATCAGCACAATTAAAAAAAAAACGTGTGTGTTTGTGTGTTTTGAGGGCATTTTGCCTCCTTGTGTCATCAATAAATATCAATGTCGGAAGTGCGCTGCCAGTCTGCCATGAACGGGAGAAGAGGGCAAGAAGGGCTTGCAGGAAAGTGGGACTGAAATGTGAGAACCCAGAAGTCATCAAGGCCGTTTCCCTGGGAGAAGAATGCCAAGTGGCTATTTCCAAAACATCTCTTTTAAAACTGACTGGACATTGAGAGACAAGCAATGGGAAGGAAGGGAAAGAGGAAAGTTAACTGGGAAAATCTGGCATGCAAAGCCTTAGTTCTGACTGCTCTCCTGCAATTCACATGGCTCCAAGGAAAATACACCTTTCTCAACAAATGAAGTGTAGGATCGCTTTTACTTAGAAGACCCAGTTGAGGCAGTTAATCTGACAATTAATTGTACAAATATAGTCCATTCACGACAATGGCCCATGGATAGAAGTTACAGGAATCAAATGAAAAGTAATGCCTCCAATGTATAAGTTGCCAATAGGTAGCACCTATAAGATCTGGCATGTTCTTCACCATTTGCTATAGGCTCTCCTGCTTCAGCAGGGGGTTGGACTAGAAGACCTCCAAGATCCTTTCCAACTCCGTGATTCTGTTATTCTTTCACTTCACTTAGGGGGAACTTGCTGTGTGAAAAGATTCTGTTGCTCTTCTTCATGAAATGTAATCCTGCAGTGAACACTTCTCAAAGGGCTGTGACTGAATTTTTAACTGCCAAAGGTGTCTCTCCAATTGAAATTTACTGCCCTATGCAGGCAGTTTGCGACGATTTTATTGACATGAGTATTGTGCATCATTTGGTCAAAAGAAATGCACATAGATTTTTGCAGATGAGAAAGGCTGATAAAGGCTGATGAAAGACAATCAACATATCATTCAAAGGGACACTGTGTCAAGCTTGGCATTTCACAGAATGTGTGGGTTGTATCACTGATGTTCTTCAATATTGGAAGGCTTGTGCAAAGATGAAATGCGGGTGGGTGAGATGAAAGCTTCACAGTTGAAAATTGCTAGCAGATAACAGAATAACAGTTGGAAGGAACCTTTGGGGTCTTCTAGTCCAAGCCTAGATCATTTCAGACAAATGGCCATCCAGTCTCTTCTTGAAGACCTCCAATAATGGAGCACCCACAATTTCTAGAGACAAGACGCTCCACTGATTAATTGTTCTCGCTGTCAGGAAATGTCTCCTTAGTTCTAGGTTGGATCTCTCCTTGATAAGTTTCCATCCAATACTTCTTGTCCTGCCTTCAGGTGCTTTGGAGAGTAGATTGTCCCTCTCTTCTTTGTGGCAGCCCCTCAAATAGTGGAAGATGATATTATGTTCCCCTTAATCCTTCTCTTTATTGGAGTAGTCATACCTGATTCCTGCAACGATGTTCATGTCAGGAGACTGAAAGAATGGTGGGGTCCTTGGTGCTCCCTGCGGCTGATTGTTTGTTTGCAGATTCTCATTATCATCATTCACCTTAGTGGTTGAACTCCAGAGTTTTCTACCCTGAGCTACAGGCATTCCTCCCCCGCCCCCATGGGAATGAAAGAAGGAATGAGAATGAAGAGAAGGAATTTCTTCACAGCATTGTAACAGCTGACAAAACATGGGATTCTTTATTTATTTATTTATTTTTATTTCTATCCCGCCTTTATTTTTTATAAATGACTCAAGACAACAAACATGGAGCTTAATGCTCCTTCCTCCTGCTATTCTCCTCACAACAACAACCCTGTGAGGTGAGTTAGTCTGAGAGATACTGATTGGCCCTCGGTCACCAAATCAGCTTTCATGCCTAAGGCAGGACTAGAATTCACAGTCTCCCAGTTTCTAGTCTAGGGCCTTAACCACTAAACCAACCTGGGAAATGAATATCAGTTCACAGAATATAATTATGAAGATTCTAGGGGGGGTGGAATAAGCTAGGCTTTGCGAGGAAAATTCATGGTGACAATTTTCTTGGATGCAGATGGTGTTATTCACAAGGATTTCCTTGAATTTGGAGCCACTATCAACTCAGAGCAGGGTGCTGCAACAGTTGACGTTTTGAAACAACAATTAAGTTCAGAATCAGAAGAAGGAAATTGAGCTGCAGCAAAGCCACACTAGTCACACACTTCACGAACCACCCAAGAGGAGAATTTGAACATTTGAATCTCACTATTTTATCCCCTACAGCAGGCATCTCCAAACTTAGCAACTTTAAGACTTATGGACTTCAACTCCCAGAATTCCACAAGCCTTAACGCTGCCAAGGGAAAAGGAGAAAAACCCAAAAGAAGGGCTTTGAAAGGTAAGCGGCATCACATTCTGAGAACCCACAGAACCAGAGGATAAACACAATTTGTACATTAAAATTACAGATTTTCTATCTATCAGATCAGTGAGTTTAGTGATCAGGGATTAAGGTAGTCCTCGATTTACAACCAAATTGTACCTGAAATTTCAGTCATAAGTCATGATGGACATAAAGCAGGTGACTATGTCGCTACATCTGATTTTATGCTCTTTTATGTGGTGGTTGTTAAACAAGAACATTATTCACTAAAAGAGCCATTTCCCCCCCAGAAACCAGAAATAAACACTGGTTTCTGGCAGAAACTTCATGAATCATGATTCCTGACTTTGGGCTGCTGCAAATGGCCATCCATGTGGGCCATTTCCAGGCACCCAGGAGGTAGTCATATGACCAGGGGGTTTAGCATCCGGGTTTTCAGGATCTGTTGTGACTTCGTACAGTTGTTAAGTGACTGGTGGACTGTCTATACAAGTGGTCCTCAACTTACAACCACTTGTTTAGTGACCATTTGAAGTTACAACAGCACTGAAAAAAGTGACTTATGACCATTATTCACACTGTTACAGCATCCCCTTGATCACATGACCAGAATCTGGACACTTGGCAACTGGTTCATACTTATGACGGTCGCAGTGTCCCGGGGTCACATGATACCCTTTTGTGACCTTCTGACAAGCAAAGTCAACAGGGAAGCCAGATTCACTTAACAACCATATTCCTAACTTAACAACTGCAGTGATTCACTTAATGACAGTGGGAGGAAAGGTTGTAAAATGGGGCAAGATTCACTTAACTACTCTTGCTTAGCAATGGAAATTTGGAGTTCAGTTATGATCGTATGTTGAGGACTATCTGTAGAAGACAAGACAGAGGACCTCAATTTCTTTGCAAGAATTGGGGATGTCTAATCTAGTGAAAAGAAGGACTAGGGGTGACATGACATCAGTGATCCAATATCTCAGGGGCTGCCCCAAAGCAGAGGGGCTCAACCTATTCTCCAAAGCACCTGAGGGCAGGACAAGAAGCAATGGATGGAAACTAATCAAGAAGGGAAGTAAGTACTTGATTGTAACCTAGAACAAAGAAGAAATCTCCTGACAGTGAGAACCGCTTCCTCCAGAAGTTGTGGGTGCTCCATCACTGGAGGCTTTTGAGAAGAGACTGGACAAACATTTGTCTGGAATGGTAAAAGACCTCCTGCTTGTGCAGGGAGGTGGACTACAAGACCTCCAAGGTCCCTTCCCACTCTGTTTTTCGATTCTGTTATTCTGGAAACTTGCTTCCATCTGCTCCCACATCAGCCTTCATTTCTTTAGCCGTTTAAGAGATGCCTACCTTCTTCACTCCCATCAAAGGCTGGGTTAACCAGTCCAGGATCTGGGACCTCTGGCAACACAACGGCAGCTCCTGAGCCTCCAGTCACTGAAGAGGACCCTCCGTTTGATACTTCAGGGTCTTTTACAGCCTTTGCTTCCAGCCTGGAAAGAGAATCTCCTTTCATCCTGGACCGAGGATTCCTCTTCCTTTCCAGGCGCTCGGTGTACTTCTTGAAGCCAGGACACCTGCATTAGACAGCAAACACCAATTCCCAAAAGAGTCCCATGTCTGTCCTCTCACAGCCTAAATTAGCCACCTGAAATATTTCTCTAACCTGTGTCTGAGTTTGGGTGGACAGGGATGCTTTTTTAAAAAGCAAAAGATTAATAAGTGCAGCAGAAAGTCTAGAGCACGAGTGGGCAACCTTGGCAACTTTAAGAATTCTGCACTTAAAGTCCCAGAATTCCCAAGGCTGCATGCACGGCTAGGGAATTCTGGGAGCTGAAGTCCATTTAATGAAGTCAACTTTAAGTCCAATTAAAGTTGTCAAGGTTGGACACACGTGCTCTAGAAGGAAAGGAATTAAAACAGTTGCTAATGAAACCCTGATCTTTCAAATAGACAGTGGTACCTTGGTGCTCATTAATTGGCTCAGGAGGCACAGCGAGTACCAAAAATGAAGAGTATCAAACAATTTTTTCTATAAGGAATAATGTAAATAAATGTAATGCATTCCCAAACCAAAGAGAATACACATTTTTAAGGCAATGTTAATAAAAAATATGGGATTGTACATCATTATTTTCATGGGAAATAAACCTAAAAATTAATAAAAACTTAGATTAAATAAAAATGTCACTTTACTGGTACTGATGGGGAAAAAAGCCCAAACAGACTCCAAATGACCACAGAAGGCCACAGATAAGGCTGCATGAGGATGTGCCTGGAGCAAGAGCTACTATGAGCCCTGTTCACGTCATAAGCGTGTGAAACACATGACCTTTTGTTTTGGCTGGAAAAGATAGCAATTCACAAGGCAACCGACACTGACAAGTTCTAGCTTACACATCAAATACCAAACAAACAATGACTGCAGGTAGTTAGATTTACAAGAGTTCATTTAGTGACCGTTCAAAGTTACAAGGACACTGAAAAAAGTGACATGACCACTTGTCACATGACCATTACAGCATCCCCATGGTCAAATGATAAAAATTCAAACACTTACAACTGATTCATATCTATGACAACTGTCGTGTCCCAGGATCATCTGATCAGCTTTTGTGACCTTCTGGCAAGCAATCTGCAGTGAGTCACTTAACAAGAAAGGCTGCAAAATGGGGCAAAATTCACTGCTGTCTCATTTGTGATCATAAATCATGAACTATCTATACTGGGACAACATTTTCACATCAAAATGCATCTAGTATGACATTCGATAAGTTTCAAAGCAGTCAAGTACTAAGGTTATTACAGTATACTGGTTTTGAGATAAAAGTAAACAGGTGAGCCTGAAAAGAAGCAGGCACATTGGCAGTTTATAATTTTTTTTAAAAAAAAATGCTCCTTATTTGCACAATTTCCTCAAGGGAAGGAAAAATAGTTAAATATATTTTTCAAGCTATCACATTCCTTCTAAAACTTTCAAGAACCAAAAAAGTGCAGATTAATACTTCCAGAAACACCAGGAGTGTCCATCACTGGAGATTTTAAAGAAGAGACTGATTAGATTATCTGAAATGGCATAGGGCTCCTGGTTGAACAGGAGGTTGCACTAGAATTACCCTTCCAACTCTTGTTATTCTGTTTTCAAAAACATCATTTTTTTTAGTAACTCCCTAAATTTCTCAATTCAATTTCTTCCATTCAGTTTCTTTCTCCACCCAGCCTTCCTTAATTAGTTTCAGTTTCTTCCCAAAACTAATAGGTAACTAAGCAGAATGTCATCCTAGCGTCAGACACTTATGGCTTTTACTTGAGTAATGTGGACAGAAGATGAGTCACTGAAGGACATTCCTCTCTGAATTGTCATTATTATGTGCAACATTCAGCACAAGGCTGACATAAAATTGCAAGTTACTAACAGAATCAAGAATAACATGCAAGCATCGCTGAGACTACAAGGGAAAATTAGGCACACCTGTTCTGCAAGTGAGCTTCAAGTTCACATCGCTGCATCGTCAGTGCACAGTCTTCTTGGAAGGGACAAAGGACAAGGAGCTTATCCAGCAGATTCCGCACCAACAAGCTGGACTTCCGGCAGTTCTGGAAGGAGAGCTTCTTCCGATCCATGGGACAGAAGCTGTACTCCTGCATGAAGTTTTCAAGGCATCTGAAACAATACGTGTGTCCACAAGGGGTGTCCATGGGCTGCAGCAAAGGCTGGAGGCAAATGTGACAAGTCAAGTCATCATCTACGTCGTCTTGAAAGTTATAAAGATGGTTGTCGGGCAGCAAGTGAATTTGTCCACATTCGTGGCAAAGTTCTCCAGATTTGGAGGCAGGTTCTTCTCCTGCAGGATCGGCCATGGCTTCAAACCTCTAATGATCCTCCTCTTCACTGGCAATGATAAACAGCACCTTCCTAAAAGGAAAAGGAAAAATGAATACTGTATAGCATTAGATTAGATTAGATTAGTAAAATCACCGGAAGGAAGGGACGGAGGGAGGGAGGAAGGAAAGAAGGAAGGAAAGAAGGAAGGCAGGCTGGCTGGCTAAGATTTAAAAATAAACATAATGAGTTTTTATTATTTGGTTCTGCGTTAATCAGTCAATTTCTGTCTGAACATCATCATTCTTCTTGATCTATTTAATGTTTCATTGCTGAGCTGTCAGTTTTCTAGCATTCAAGCAACTGCTGGATGTAGTAGCTTCAATAGTTTCTCCGAAGCTGCTTTAAATTCCTGGAAACTAGACTTGAACTTAAGAGATAAAAGGAAATCCACACCTGTCTGCAAAACAGGAAGGTGAGCAGCCCTCTTGGAGACAGCAAGCTGCAACTGGTCAATTGTGTCTCCTGCAAAAGAATCTGACAGCCAGTGCTCCATTCAATCCACAAAACTAAACATGTATTTAATGAGAGTTTCAATTAATTTTGTTGCAGTAGATTCCATTTCACTATCATGGATTTAAAGTATTCAGTTTTCTACTCAGATACTGAGAGAGAAGGGAATCCCCTTCATTTTCAATCATTCCTTAATAAAGCTGGGTTCCCTGGGAAGTTTTTAAAAATGGCTCTATTAGAAGAGCACCAAATTTTCTTTGCAACACAGAACTGCAGCAAACAGCCTCACTAAGCACATTTTTACATTCTGGAAGACCCTGAGGTTTTTCTCCCACTACCACCTGCACATCTGGATCTATTCCAAAATTGTCTGCAACTCATAGCAGACATTCAAGGGCAAAAAAAAAATCAATTTTGGATAAATTCCAGAGAATAAAAGGTGAATCCTTCTAAAGGTCCAAATGTTCTAGAAATATTGACATCATGAGGCTGCGGGGGGGGGGGGGGGGGGGGGGGGGGGG